CTCATGTCATGAAAATAAAAGGGGGACTACTAGGAAGGTAGAAGGGGAAGAGTAAAGGGTGATAGGAAGGGAGCTAAGGAATAGAAATAGAAGGAGTAAATTTGATCAAAGTACATTATATGGATGTGTGGAAACATCAGAATGAAACCCCTTACTATGTACAATTTCATATATGCTAATAAAATGGAATATTGGATGAACATTTCCCTAATCTGAGGAAAGAAGCCACATCCAGGTCTAGTAACATAAAGATATCCAATCCAATACAACCCAAAGAGGAGTTTACCATGACACATAATCAACCAGCTATCAACAATCAAAGACAAGCCAGGTGTGGTGTCTCATACAGTAATCCCAGCTACTCAAACTTGAGGTTTGAGGCCAGCCCAGGAAAAGGGTTAGCAATATTCACCTTTCAACCAATAAGCTGGACATGGTAGTACATGTTTGTGGTCCCAGCTATGTGGGAGGCCCTAGGTAGAAGGATCTCAGTCTGAGGCTGGCTGGTACCAAAAAACACGAGACCCTACATAAAAAATAAGTAAAGCTAAAAAGAAGGTTGAGGGTATAGCTCCAATTGTAGAGTGCCTGCCTAAAAAGTGTAAGATTCTGAGTTCAACCCCAATACCTCTGACAAATAAACAGATAGCTAACCAAACCAAACAAAAAACAGACAAAAAAGCTCTAAGAGCAGCAAGAGAAGAAAACACATACGAAGGAATATCAACACAACTAATTGCAGACTTCTCAACAGGAACTCTGCAGGTCAGAAGAGGCGGGATGCTACTTGCAAAGTGCTGAAGGAATTAAACTGCCAACCAATGTTACTACACCCAGCACACCATCCTTCAGAATTGAAGGGAAGCTAAGGACCTTCCTAGACAAGCAAAGGCTGAAGGCATTTATTAATGTAATACCTGTCTCACAAGAAATGCTAGAGGGACTTCCTCAAACTAAATAACACTAAATGTAACATGAAAACATCTGAAGGTATAAAAAGTCACAAGTAAGTACCAAGAAAAATCCAAAATTCTCTAATATTATAATCATGAGGAATAAACTACTTATATCCTGAAGAGGAAGATTAAAAGACAAAACATGTTTGTGGCTCACATCTGTAATCCTAGCTACCTACTCAGGAGGCAAACATCAGGAGGATTGCAGTTGTAAGCCAGCCTGGATAAATAGTCTGTGAGGCCCTATCTTGAAAACCCCATCACAAAAGCAAAGGGTTGGTAGAGTGGCTCAAGGTGTAGGGCTTGAGTTCAAACCCCAGTACCACAAAAAAAAAAAAAAAAAAAACCCTAATAACCACTACCTTAACTTGTTAATGGATAGGCAATACAAAAAATGTAAATTGTAACATCAAAAACCCTAAATGCTACTAACTAGGAAAATTGAAAGTTTTTTATTCTTTTTTATGCCATCAAAATTATTTGATTTTAACTTAAAATAAGCTGTTATATTAATAAGACTTTTTATTAAGCTTCATGGTAACACCATAATAAAAAAAAACTATGATAAAAATCTATGATACATGTATGAAAAATAAAAGGCAGAGAATCAATATTGTCAGAGAAAATCACCTAACCAAAAAGGAAATAACTAAAGAGGAAGAAAGCAAAATATCTACAAAACAAATAGAAAACAAGCAACAAAATAGTAGCAGTTACTGAACCCTGCCTTCAATTTATATTCAATTAGTTTGAATATAAATAAGTTAAGTTATCCAATTAAAAGGTGACTGGGAGAATGGATTAAAAAATAAGAGCCAAATATATGCTGCCTACATGGGATATACTTCCCTAACAAGGACACACAGACTGAAAATAAGCAGATGGAAAAAAATGTGCTGTGCAAATGTAAAGAAAACGAAAAGGAGTAGCTTACTTCTATCATTATATAAGGATGAAAATGTCAGTACAGTGATAAATATGACCATCAAAAATAAATATGCACTGATCATCAGAGCATCTGTAAATAAAGAAAACAATCATTCTAAAAGAAGAGATAGATTGCAATATAATAATATTAAGGGACTTAAACACCCCATTTTCAACAATGGACAGATTCTAGACAAAAAATTAACAGCCATCAGATTTAAACTGGGCCCCTGAACATGATCAAAGTACATTGTATACATGTGTGAAAATGACACAATGGAACTCATTGTTTTGTGTAATTAATACATGCTAATAAAAATTAAAATAAAAACTGCAACATAGGGCAAATGGACCTAACAGACATTTACCGAATATATATCCAACAGCTCAAGTACATCTTCTTCTCAACTACATATGGAACATTCTTCAAGATAGATCAGATATTAGGCCACAAAGCAAGTCTTAACGAATATGAAAAAAGAGCTAAAATCTCATCAAGTATCTTTTCTTTGACCACAATGAAATGAACCTAGAAATCAACAACAGGAAGAATTTGCAAGCTATAAAAACACATGGAAATTAAACAACATGTTCCCCAGCAACCAACAGGTCAATGAAGACATTTCAAATTTTCTTGAGACAAATGAAAATTGAAAATGTAACTTACCAAAATGTATGGAATACAGCAAAAACAGATTTAAGAGGGAAGTCTATAGCAGAAAACATCCACATCAAGAAAGAAGAAAGACATAAAATAAATTGCTTAACATTGGGCATCAAGGAACTAGAAAAATGAGGACAAGATTTATAGAAGGAAGGAAATAATAAAGATCAGAACAGAAATAAATGAAATATAAATTTTGAAAAGCAATACAAAAGATTGATATAATAAAGAAGTGTTTTCTTGAAAAGATAAAAATTAACAAGCTTTTTGTGTAACTAAGAAAAAAGACACAGAACTCAAACAAAATCAGAGATGAAAATGGAGACATTAAAAGTGGTACCAAAGAAACACAAAGGAACATAAAAAGGCTATAAACAACCATACAAGTCAAAATTGGAAAATCTTCAAGAAGTGGATAATTCCTGGACACGTACAAGCTACCAAAAGTAAATCATGAAGAAACAGAAAATCAATGAGCAATGAGATTAAATCAATAGCAAAATGTTTCTCATCAAATTAAAGTCCAGGACTTAATGATTGCCCTGCTGACTTCTACCAAATATTTAAGAACTCATGCCAACTTTTCTCAAACTATTTAAAATGTGAAGAGGAAATCCTTTCAAAAGCATTCTACCATGCAATCCTTGCTTCATAATTATGCACAGATATTATGTGTCAATCAAAAAACTTAAATTTAAAATTTAAAAAGTCAACAGGCCATTTTTATGGGCTCCTCCCGAGCTAAAACAACTCATTTTCAAAGCAGTAATTTTAGACTTTTATTCTCTCCTCCCAGGTTTGAGTACACTGATAAGTGCTTTATTGGTTGCCATCTCTCCTCTGACTTCCCAGAAAAACCAGAAATACTTCTTGATCATTTCCATGTACACTTCAAATACTATAATGCAGAACAGGATTTACCCAAGCTGAAGATCAGGGTCTTGGCAAGGAAGTACATTTTTTCTGGTCCAAGCAGTCTAGCAGTGATTCCTGAATTAATCCATTACCTCCCAAGAAGTCCATTGCCCACAGCAACTACACCATACAATATGGACAGTGGGGAGAGAACCAGTTGACATCATTGTCAGGCAGTAAGCATGAAAAAATGTTAAGCCAGAGATTTTCATCACAAAAGCTGGAATGAAGGCAGAGCAGCTCACCAAAAATCCATTTCCGTAAGGCAGGGCTCATTTTCCATATAAAAATCCAGCTCTTCAGAGACTCCATATCAGACCTCAGAGTCCAGAGAGCTGCATCTTCAGAGGTAAGACACCCTCCTTGAAACTTTTTAATACCCACTCCATTGTAATTTATTTTGATTGACTCCTCATGGCGATCTAAGGATATATTTATTTTATATTCAATATAGATGCTTTGATTTCCGACTCTGATTAAAATTGTGGGACTAACAATCACACAGAGGGAGTGTTTTCTATAAAGACTGGTATTAAGTTAGCAGGAATATCTGGAGGGGGCATAAAATCCAGACCCCACCTGCTTCTGTGCACCTGCTCCCATCTGCATCTATGTCTTAATATTTCAATTGTCCTAACTATATTGAGAATTTTCAGTATCAAAGGCACTGCACTATGCAATTTTGATGTTCCAATGTTAAATTTCTTTTTCTTCATGAACTTATGATTTATCAGAGAATATTATATGTGGGCATACTTTCCTAATATACAATTTGGAAAATGATTAGTAGAAAAAGGAAAGGCAGGTAACCTGCTGGAGCAAAATGAAGAAGCTGACATGCAATCTGGTGGAGGCACTGGAAGGAGAACCATAATGTGTAACATGGGACAGCCGTGATGGAGGGGAAAGCCTTCCAGAACGCATTGGCCTAGGGGACAGTGTGAGAACTCATATAGAGTTTCATAAAGACTTTTCCTATGAGAACTAAGCCACTCTATGGAATGAGCATGAGTGAATAGACTCCAGTATTTTTGTAAAAATTTTTGTTAGAACAAAAATTCTAACATCTTTTCAAACTATTGGAAACCAGGGGCCTCACATCAATCCTAGGAGCCTTCTGCTGTGATACATTATTTTCTGTTGTATATAGGTTTTTAGAAGCACAAGGTAGAAAAGAAGTAGAGAAGGCGCCTCTGGAATGGAACATAACAAATCACCTTAACCTTTTCCATCAAAAGTGTGCAGGCATTGTCAAAGTACCTCAAATTCAAGAACAAGAATGCACCAGGTAGAAAGGTAGCAAACAAGGCCTTCCCCAACATGGAATTTAGAGATCACCTGTACTTTGGCATTGAAAGTGTTTGAGATCATCAAAGCACCCCATGATCTCAAATTCAAGGAAAAAGAAAGAAGGAAAAGAACCTCACTTCTGAACAGACATGCGATGAGAGATGTGTGCTATTAAGCTGGCCTTCCTCCTTTTTCCTCCGAAGTACTAACTCAGCTTCTCTGTCTCTAGGTTCAGCATCCTTTGAAGCATGAGTTCCTACCAGCAGAAGCAACCCTTTGTCCCACCTCCTCAACCTCAGGAGAAGCAGATGAAACAACCCTCCCAACCTCCACCACAAGCGCAATTTGTTCCCGTAAACACGGAGCCAGGCAACCAAAATATTCCACAACCTGGAAATACCAAGATTCCAGAGCCATGCCATACCAAAGTTCCTGAGTCAGGCTATACCAAGGTCCCAGACCAGGGAGACACGGTAGTTCCTGAGCCAGGCTATACCACAGTCGCCGGGCCATGCATTACCACCAGCATCAATGAGCCAAGCTTCACCACAGTTTCTGGGCCATGCAGTACCAACATCACCGATTCAGGCTGCACCACAGTCTCTAGGCCAGGCACTACCAGCATTGTTGAGCCAGGCTGCACCACAGTCTCTGGGCCATGCAGTACCAATATTGTTGAGCCAGGCTGCACCACAGTCTCTCAACCAGGGTATACCAAGGTTCCTGAGCAGGGCTACTCCAAAGTACCAGAGCCAAGCCAGTCTAAGGTTTCTGAGGTCTACCCCTCAGTGGTCACCTCAGGCCAAGCTCAGAAGACCAAGCAGAAGTAATGCAGTCTACAGCCACGCCCCAACTGATGAGCCGGTCACCCACTGATGAACACACTCTTTCCTTCTGCTTCTGCATCTTAATTGCCTGGAGACCTTGCCATGCTATCACTCTGAATCATAGCCTCTGTCTATGTGTATCCTAGTATATGTGCCATGAAGCCTTCTCTTGCATACACCCTGAGTCCTCTGAGCCTCTGAGGTAAGCGGAAGGTCTTGGTGCCTTTGCCGGCCTTCAGTTGCTCAGAGTTCATCTGAAGAGGCATTCTGAATGGGAAGACATGAATGTTTCCTGCTTTGTCTCATTAAATTACTTTTAACTCTACTCTTGGCTTTGTGTGTCAGTGGCTGAATTTCCCCTTTCCTTGGTCTCCCATTGTGAGACTGAGAGGGGCTGATATACATGTCATCTACTTAATCCTGTCACTGTGTCCTTCTGTGAGGCTGTGGGGACCCATTTGAGGGCATTCCTGAGATAGCAATGGGGAACTGTGCAATAGTTCAGTCATTTGCTTGTGATTTGGGGCAGCCACAGCTAGAACAAGGCTCTCCTCTTTACTGGAACTAATCACACTGGAGTTCCCTGGTTCCTTCCCTAAGCCACATCTTATACTCTACATCCTCCCTACAAGTCTCCTCTTCAATCCAAGGAAGCCCTACTTCTATGTACTTGAATCTCTTATTCTGATTTTCTTATCTCATTTTTCCTTGGAATTACCCCTGACAGGTACAGATCCCACACTGTCATAGAGACATATTCATCATTGAGACATATGCTTTGTACCTTTCTACACACTCATACAGTCAGCTACACAAATTCCACACTAATTATATCAGGCAATGTCACAGTTTCTGTGTACCTACTATGTTCAGGAAATCCTGCACCTAGAGCAGCACAAGGGTAGGTAAATACATAGTTCCTCCCCTTGGAAAATTTGTAGTCTCCTATAGGACTTACGATACTCATGCTCTTTTGGCACAAACCTGTCCACAAAATACATTCTTTTTCTCCCCATTGAATCTTTTCTCTGTCTGTCTATGCTCAGAGTGGCCCACACAGGGGGTCATTGTTAATCAGTAACCAGGATTACATGATCCAGGTGAGGTATAACCAAATACTAAGTTGAGCGAGCATGTTATTAAATGATGAAATCTCAGGATTGAATGGAGACTTTACAAGTATCTAGTATAGCCATTTCACTTTTCAAATTAAGAAACCGATACTATAAAAGTTAATTAAGGTAACCCAGAAATTATTTTTCTGTATGACATACAGAGCCCACAGTCCAAGTCCCTCACTTTCTCCTCCAGCCTGGTTTTTTAATTTCAGGGGTAACCAGCAGGTTTGCAAATCTGTGTGCAGTGGTTCACGGGTAGTGGAGAGCTGTCTCCAGCAGCAGAGAAGACTGTAGTAGTAACTAGGAAACAAAATCCACTTCTTAATAGGTTGCGTGTCCCTAACATCAAAGAAGTATGAGACAGGTTGAACCTGCATGATGCACAAGCACTTCAAATAGATTTGGCAATACCTCTAAGGTATTTGGAAAATATAAGATAAAAATCACCCACCAAATCATCACAAGGTGATGAGTAGCTGTCAAACTGGAAGGCGAGAATCACACCCCTTGTGCCTGTTAGGTATGTACCCGTTTAGGTGGCTTCACATCACTGCTGATTTCAATGATGGATAAGTCTAGAGACGATTTTAAGCTGAATCACATTTAAATAGGCTAATTCTGGGTGGAGCAATGAACTGTATGATATATACAGCTAATTGTGAATGTAAAATAATGTACTTTGTTGCTCCTTTGCTTTTTAAAAATATGTTTTATTGTGGAAAATATACATATGATAAACTGTACCTTTAAAAATATTTTTCAAGTGTAAAAATTCCATTTATAATGTGCATTTTTGCTAAAATGTGTGAATGCATGTGCATTTATGGAAGATGAAGAAAAATCCTGGCACTGCATTCAGGATTAATTAAGAATATAAATGGCTATTTTTGGCTGCTTTTGTTAGTGTTTATGTTTCATAACTCTATGTTTTCCATAATAATTTGTGTTATGTAATGTTATTTCATATTTATACTCATAACTTTGATTGTGATATTTAAAATAATAGAAGTCAGTCAAGATATTGCTGAGCTGGAGGAAAAACATAAGTTCTGACCATCAAAAACATTCTTGAGGTGCAATACAGATCCATATGAACAGCCCAAGGGTGAACAGCCCTGCTTCCTTATCGAGAAAGTCTCTGGTACCTTCCCCCCACACACATCCATCCCCATCCCAGTTGCCAATCTTCTGTTAGTGATGCTAGGAGACTCCAACACCCACTCACACTGCTAGCCCAAAGGCTTCCAATCTTGCCAACTATGGCAGCTAATGCCATATGAAGTGTTAACTGACTTGTCCCCTTCCTGTCTCAGCTTCTTTCCACTCAACTCTTTTATTCTGTGACACAATGAAAAGACACCACAATTGGGATAGCATTTAGAGAGCAGAATATTGTTTCTTCATGGAGAACTTAAAGTTTGAGCTATGCACAGTTTAGAATGCTTCAGCTCCACAACTTGATTGTGATCTTAACTTGTACAAAAAAATGCACATTTGGTTTCTCTTCATAATAATAATCATCATTTTTATTTATTAAACTAACATATTTTGCCACATCCTAGCAATAAGTGTTCCTACCACTGAAGCAAAGAAATAATAATCAAGCAAAACATTCTATTTGTGTTATGTTTATATTGGTCAAGGTAGGTTATCTTCTGTGACAAAATCTTCAAAATATCTGACTTCATACTATAGAATTCTAATGTTCATTTAAAATAAAATCCATTGTGAGTTGGAAGGGATTCACACCCATTCTGCTCCATGATTCATAACTCTCAATAGGCACTCCTTCCATTGTATTATAAAAGAAGTAGGAAACGAAGCATACTTTCTCTTAAATCCCTGAATAATAGAGGTAACAATTTGTATTTCCAAAGTCATATCATTATCTAAATGTCAGTCATGTGATCCCACCAACTACACATGACTGTGTGCCCTCCCCAAAAAAGAAAATAGGGCATTGATGAGCTCTTATAACTCTGTCATTCTTCAGCCTACTAGTTCCAATCAACTATGTGTTTTCCTCTTTCTCTACATCAACATATTACGAGAGACACAACCCAACAACTAATGAAGTCATTGTATCTACTTCAAAGTCTAAGATCTTCAGATAACATTCAATCTTTCCCATCATATCTTCTCCACATGGTTTTCCTTGGTCCAGAAAATTAGAAACTAAAAGGATTATTCCCTTCCACCCCTGCCTAACCCAATTTGCAGTCATGGGGCAGGAATTCAATAATCTCATTTATTTGTGCTATAATATTTAACACAATTTTATTTTTAAAGACTTTTTCAAAAATCACAATATGTAATTAAAAAATTGAGTAACTAAGTACTCTTGTTCTTAAATGAAGAACTAAAGTTTGCTAAAAGAACATTTCCGTGGAAAGTAAACCTATTGCACTTAAAAGGGCTTTTTCTATGTGAATTTAAACCACTCTTCCTTTGTGGAGTAGAAACTCTCACTCTCAAAAATTAGAAAGTCTGAGGAATATAAGTAACATTTGGGCAACTTAAAACATTCCCTTAGTGCACTTTACTCTGAGCTGATTTTGTCTGCAGACCAGAGAGCTCACAAGGGTCTACAGAAAAAGAATAATTCATCATGTCCTAAAGATGGCTGACAGCAGGACATAAAAGAAGAAGACAAACTTACTCTCCTTCAGTCCTTACCCCTTTTCCACTTATTCTTTCCAATCCAGCCCCAGTGCTACTAAAACACTCTAGGCATTTTCTTAAAGATTTGCTTAGAGAATTTGTATCAGATATTCCCTTACCTGGAACATTGTTCCCTCAGATATCCTAATAGCTAACCCTTCACTAGTTTTAGGTCTGTCCAAAAAATACCTTCTCAAGGAGGACTTACAAATACTGTTCTTGCCACATTGGTGCTCCTATTGCTTACACTAATATTCCTTTTATCCATGTAATTTAATGTATAATTTTCACATTCACCATGTTTCTTATTTTTATTAGCATACATTATAGTCCAAGGGAGTTTCTTTGTGATGACTCTATAGATAAACATAGTGTACTTTGAGCAAGTTCATCCCTCCCCCATTATATTTTTCCTTCCCCTTTTTTTGAATAGTGTTTGGTGACTTTCATATGTATATATGTGTGTATACAAATACATATGAAGTGTATTTTGATCTTGGAATTAAGAGGATCATGTTTGTTATTTAATATATGATAATGTATAATTTATACATGTTTAATTAATATATAATATTAATACATTAGGCAAAGTTTATTATACTATATAACATATAAATATATATTATTTATTTCTGCCTCCCTTATAGCATGTGAGATTTCTTTGTTGGTTTTTACTGATACATACAAATGCCTGACATACTGCAGGCATTCAAGCATTCAATAACCAGTTGGATGAATAAATTGGAAGACTTTCTTTTTAATAGAGCTTGAAATTTTCCATTGTCACCCACAATCCATTGTAACTGCAAGGTTAAATAGGGCCTACAGCACACACCCTAGAAGGGAGGTTTCAGAACATGTTGCTACCTGAAGCTCTGTTACTTGTCATTTAGCTTGAGAGCTAATTGATCTTGCTCAGTCTTAAAATATTCCACTTCTTAAAATATGGGTCTGAAATCTCTCACTGGGTTGGGTTTTCTTGAGGTTTTGGAGCAATCAGGTTGTATTTCAAGTATGAAAGTAATAATATTTCATGGTTTTGTCCTTTTATTCATGTGGTAGGAAGAAGAAAATGGAAATTGACTATGACTTTGCTTTGTTTTACAGTAGATTGCATTGGAATCCTCATGGGGAAGAAAATTAGGTAGGTGATATTAAAATGGGAAAGAACAAGAACAAGGCAGTCTCCATTTGAGAAAGAATCTTTCCATGTGGATTTCAAAGAATACTGAACTAAATGTGGCCATTCTCCTGGAGGCATTCTTTTCTCATTACCAAAGGTAAATTATCTTTGTGGCAGAAAAGGAAAAGAAAAATATTCTTGTGATCACAATTTCAAACACTTAGACTGTTCTTTCCTTAATTTTTTCCTTAATCCAGTTGGCTTTTTTCTGCTACACAAGAAAATATGCATTTTCATTGAATAGTGTCATAGAAAAGCAGAGTCTTTACCATAAAATGTAAATTTCTGGTAAGGAAATACAAAGTGGGAGGAAGCAACCAAATGCTGCTGTGATGAAGGGACTGGAGAAACTCTTTACAGCTTAGTTTATCAGATAAACTGTTTCTTCTTTTCCAAAGGAGAGAACCTCTATTAATACACCCACCACTTTTGTTCAGACATTGCCAAGTTCCAGGAAAAAAAAATTCTGCTAGCAGTGGATTTTCCAGTCACCCCTATAACGTCTTGTGTATGTCCTTCCTCATGTCTGGAGGCATGTTCTTCAAGTGTCCAACACCTTGCATATTTCCATAAAGCCCACCGCACCATCACCCATCACTATACTCTTTGATCTCTCTCCAGTATCCACCTCTCCCAGTAACCATATCCCCAAGTCTTTTCCTTTAAAAGTTGCTTTTTTTGTCAGCAGTACTTTATTTTCCAAAGCTAGGACAGACTCAGATATTAGCAGGGCCAAAACACCACAAAGACAAATCAGTCCTCCCTTTTATAGCATTCCATCAAATTCTCTTGAAAGCCAGTTATGACAAGTGGCATGTCTTCACTAAGCTTCAGTTCCTGATTTCCTTGGACTGATGCTTAGCAGAGAAGACTTCTTTCCTAAAGTTATTCCCATGCAACATTTCAGGAGTAGGCTGAGAAAAGACCCACCTCAACCACAACAACCTCTCCAGAAGCTCAGAAGAAACATAAATCAAGTCCAGCTTTCTGCCACTGATCTTCTGAACTTTCTAGGCATTGATTTCTGTCATATGGATAATTTTTTATGTGTCTTCTTCCAAAATTACATGCCAGCTTCACTGATTGGCTTCTTCAATAAGTTGTGCCTGACACTAAAGCCTTGTGGCTAGGGAGTTTATTTGGGAATGTAGTCACAACAAAAGAAATAGGACAGATTGGAATCCAAGAAGAAGGAACATCCATTCAACCATTCAAGGAGGCATTATGTTTTTGCACATCACCAAGAATAGCTGATGGTCAAACCCTCAGGGCTTTTTGAAGATCTTTAAGAAATGGTCCTAGAATTCTTTTGTGCTGAAGATGAAGGTAGAAAGTATTTATCCATGGCTTTCTCTCACTGCTATCATTTGTAAATTTTGGGCCCATGTGCATTAACTCATAAAAATTCTGAGCTGTACACACAAGAGCACATTGTGTCCCATGGGTGCTGTGCACTGCAGTATTATGAAAGCCTAAATTTGCCCCTAAATCAGGAAGGAAGAGGTAAACAGCATGGTCCTGAAGAGCAACTTTGTCAAGAGTTCTCTGTGCAAAGTCCATTCAAGTCTACATAGAAAAGGCTGTATGACAGTGTATAAGTAAAACAGAAGGTAGAGAGAACTTGTAGGAATTCCTAATAGGTATCAAGAACAGTTATACAAGTTCAAGAAAGGGCAGAACTTGATATAAGAAAATTATCAGCATCCTCTCATCCTGAGATGAACATCAGTGTGAAAGTCACAGGTACGTGGGAAGATGTTTAATTTCATCAGAAGCCTTGTAGCTACCAGCAAATTTATGGATAATTCAGCATTGCTGGTGAGAAAATTGAGCTTCCATGTATGATAGAAAGTTCCTTTATACACAACTCTACAGTGTGCTTAGATAAAACAGTAGAAGAATAAAATGAGAAACTCTAAAAGCTAGAACAAGAATGGCGTTGACTAGTGTAAAAGAGGCACAAGCTAAGTAGGCACACCAGGTCAAAGCCCAAAAAGAATATTGGATAGAAGCCACCAGAGAGGACATGAAAGGCAGGATACAGTCTCAGAGTTGAGGTTCAGATCTGCAGGTCCTTAGCCTTGTTGGAAAGCAGGACTTAGAAACAGAAATCAGGTTTATTAGGTCTTAGATTCTCAAATTATAATCAGTATAGAAAGCTTGGAATTAACTACTTAAGGTTCATAGTGTGGAGGGGTGAGTAAAGAGAGGCTTATACCCCATCCTAGAGGAGAGCCTACATTGATGTAGGAGGTCGTGAATGTAGGCATAGTGGTAGCAATTACCCCATCCAAAGAAAGGTGACCATTTAAACTCTAAGAGAGCGGGAAATAGGTAAGTGGGGAAAGCAGCAGAAACATCTGTCTCTTGCTGTGTCCTTAACCATCTTCCAGCTTATATCATGCTGCTTGTCGTAAGGAAGCATTTTCCTTATAAGAAACTCCTTACTAGTTCTCAAAGCAGCTTCTAGGGTCTCTTTTCAAACAACACTATTTATCCTTTCATCTACCTATCCAACCATTCATTCATTTATTCTATCACTGACAATTCCCTAAACTTCTACTAACATCAGGAGTCACATTGGGGTGGAAGATAGAGTAATGTCTAGGGGGATCCAATGGGAGGAGCCTCTGATGGTGGATGGCTGATCCTGGGCTCAGGTTCATGGGAGATGACACAACTATGAAGCCAGCGGATGCTCCAAAAACATTTAGGTGAGCAAAATAAGGAGGGAGGGACCATCCAAACACTTGAGTTTGAATTACTGTTCAGATTCTGCAAAGACTATGCTTGAAACAGATTACATGTTGCTAGCTGACATGGATTAATGAACTCAGTTTCATCTTATCTTCAGAAAAGTGAACATTGCTATAAGGGCTAGGGGAATCCCAGCTCTCTTGTTCCTGTATCGGTTCCAGAGAAGGGATCTCTATGGGAGGCAGGATCTTGAAGGTTCTGTTGTCACATTATACAGAACAACTGGCTGGGCTAGAAAGACCAAGTCACTTTGGAGTTGAAGCTGACTGTCCTCCCCTCTGTTTTCACTGTTCAGCATTTCCCTTCACTGACTGAGGTTCCCCTGCCCTTCCACTATTGTCTCTGAGTCTTTTCTTGGAGAGAAGACTTTTTAGAGTCCACAAAATCATTTTGCCTTTTTTTCCCCCACTGAGGATTGAGTACACTAAAGGATGGATAAGCAGAATTATCACTTTTTCCACTTGGGGAAATTCAGGCTATCGTGACCATGGCCTCCCAGAATAACCAAAAACACCAATCTTTTATCTCCACATACACTTTCAGATCCTAAACACTCAACAAGCCTCACCTGAGCTAAGTATTGGCAACTTCCAAGAGACAGGATCTTTTCTGAGTCCAGAAGACCCAGAAATTCTTCCTCCTTGCTTTTTCAGCCCACACCACTGTCCCTATAAACACTACACCTGTGTATAGAGGATAGATAAGGCCTGATGACATAATTGTCAGCAAGTGCCAAAAAAAAAAAAAAGAGTCACATTGGTGGTTTCATCACAAAAGCTGAGCCAACAGGTGGAAACAGGGCCTGGGGTGAGTCATGTGTGACAGGGAATGAAGAAAGGCCACTCCAAAAGATCCCATCTCCTTGAGGCAGGGCTTGTTCCCTGCATAAAAAGCCAGTTGGTTAAGCATGTCACATCAGATTCGAGTGATCATATTGCCTGTTCTTCTCTGCATACCAGGTGAGCCTCTTGGAACTTTTTATCATTCACCCCAGGTATTTGACTTTTATTGTAACCTCATTGGCATTTTTTGGTGTCCTTTTTTCTCCCTATAACTGAAATTTGGTCATCATACACACTGATCATTTGAATTATAGATTCTAGGAATTTTGAAAAAAGTAATCATGGTTTGGACTTGAAGTTACTTTAGACATATTTGTTCTGTTCCATTGGTCCTTTTTGGATAAGTGAGAAGAGAATCAGCTGGTGCAAGGACCTAAAGTAAGTAAGTAGAAGAATAAGAAATAGAACCCAGGTCTATAGCACTTTTACTGACATAATTCTGTATATATTCATAAGTTAATGCCGAGAATTTTATTCTTCCAATATTTTTTGTGAAACACACATACACATACATGACTAATAATAATTCAGGCAACGGGAATTTACTGCATAAAACTACAATTTATTTAGGAGAATAAGAGCTAAAATACAATAGTAAGTGATCAATGTCTGGTGATAAGGGCAAGTGCTGTGATAATTTGGGGACATAGAGTAGATTTCTGGAGGTCTTGCTCTAGAAAAGCCATCCAAAAGTGCCACGAGGTGATCTGTGGTGTTTGGTTAAACTGGATCAAGCAGGAACAAGGAGAGCACCTAAGGCAGAGGAGCATATGAGCTAGTTCATAGGCTCCATCATATGGCTAGAGTTATCATAGAGGTAATAGATAAAGCACGCTGTTTATCATAAATTGAGTGAGTGAGAGGCAGTTACTTTTGTGATTGTTGTGTTCATCACATTTCCAAATAATACAGTATACCAAGTCTTGCATTCCTACCAGAAGCTGTCTGCTTTGCTTTGCTTCTAACATGTAGGAATCTAGAAGAAAGATAATACCAGTAATTGTCCTGCTCAAGTGGAGGAGAACACATCACTTTATGTTCCTCCTCTTCAAAAACTCAGAAATAATCACATATTCTTTGTAGTGGAGAGAAAGAAGAAACTTTGCTTCTTAAGAAACATGAAGGGGCATTCTGTGTGGCTTCTTCCTGAGTCATTCCCTGTTCAAATAATCTATTCTATCTCTAGGACAAGTCACTGTTGAAGTATGAGCTCCCAGCAGCAGAAGCAGCCTTGTACCGCATCCCCTGAGCTGCATCAGCAGCAGGTGAAACAGCCTTGCCAGCCCCCACCCCAGGAACCATGTGTCTCCAAAGCCAAGGAGCCCTGCCACTCCAAGGCTCCTGAGCACATCCACCCTAAGGCTCCTGAGCCTTGCCATCCTAAGGCACCTGAGCCCTGCCACCCCAAGGCTCCTGAGCACATCCACCCTAAGGCTCCTGAGCCTTGCCATCCTAAGGCACCTGAGCCCATCCACCCCAAGGCTCCTGAGCCCTGCCACCCCAAGGCACCTGAACCTGTCCATCCCAAGGCACCTGAGCCCTGCCCTTCAACAATCACTCCAGCACCAGCTCAGCAGAAGATAAAGCAGAAGTAATGTAGTCCACAGCCATGCCCTGATGAGTGGATCACTGATGCTGACCCTTCTTTTCTATTCTGCTTATGAGTCCTATTGGCCTTATATCACCATGCTGTCACTTGAGTCAAAGTCTCTTTCTCATTTGCACCCTAAAAACAAGTGCCATGAAGGTTTTTTTTGCCTACATACTCCAGGCTTCTAAGCCTCTGATTAGCCTGAGGGACTCAGTGCCTGAGCTGCTTTTCATCTGCTCAGAATTCATCTGAAGAGGGACTTCAGGTGAACACAAGTGATTCAGTTCTGTTATGCCCCCATTAAATTTCCATCCATCCCACTCCTGATTTTGTGTGTTTTGTCTCTTTCCTTCCTTTCCCTCAAGAAGCAGGAGGTGTTCATAGAGGTGGGAGGGCAGAAAAGGGTTTTGCTCAAATGGCATATGATCCCGGCACTAGGAGATGGGAGGTTCCTCCTACTGAGTACTCATGGGATGCTAGAAAAAGGTTGGGCAATGCCACCTAATGGCTGTTGCTTTGGGCAGCCAGGACTGGAGCAGGGCTTTCCTCATGCAACTCGGTGAGTCATTATGAAGTTTAGTTAAACTGGCTGTGACTTATCTAACATTGAGTGCCCTATCCCCAAAAATGTCCTACAGATTGCTGACTTATTAAACAAGCTCCACTTTATTTCAGGAAATGTTCCTGTATCTGTGAATCTGCTCCTCCTCATTCATTTCTTCAAGGTACCCACAACTCAAATTCCCAAACACACCAGAAGACTCACAGCCTACTCTGTTATCTTAGCCAGTCCTCTTCCATTCTCTGGGTGCCCATTCTGTGCCAGAAAAGGGTTGAGGAGGATTCATGGTATCTGACAGGGGTTTTTCAGCCTCATAACTCCCCTCATTCAAACCACATAGACACACATGCACATGCACTAAGCCTGGAATCCTCACAGAGAAATATATAAAAACTGATTCACCCAGATCCACAATTTGGAGAATTTATTGCACACACACATTGCTCAGAACTATAGGAAAAGAAGACTATTAAACCCACTCATATTTTCCTAGAGTATAAAAATGTTCAGAGTGAAATTGGGGTGGGCATGATGGGTCCAGGTATGGTGGTACATGCCTATAAGCCCAGATTCTCAAGAGACAGAGGTGGGAGGATCATTATCTATGGTTGGCCAGGCAAAACCACAAGACCCTACCTGAAAAACAAACAAAAGCCAGAAGGGCTGAAGGCATGGCTTCATTGGTAGACTCTTGCCTAGCAAGCATGAGGTCTTGAGTTTAAACCCCAGTACTGCCAAAAAATAAATGTTTAGAGCAAAATAAAAACAAAAGAGATGTCAATAGCACATTCACACATATATGCATATTTATGAAAAATTTATTTTTATTTTTAAGTAATGTATGATAATTTAATCCATGCATATAACATATTATGACCAAATGAGAGTAATTAGCATTTCCATCTTCTTATCATTTCTGTATGTTTGGAGACTTTGAACTCCTCTCTTCTAGTTGTTAAGAAAATATATAGCATGCATCGTAAGTTACAGTCATTCTGTTGTGCAGTAGAATGCTGGAGCTATTCTTCCTATTAAACCACTAGAAGACAAAGCAAATGGTCCTGCAGCAGTATCAAAAGATGTACATTTTTCCTTAGGTTGGAAACTGAATAAATTTAAAAAAAAAACCTGTCATTTTATATAACTACAATAATTATGATAATTTTGATCATGACATTTTCCTGATAACATTCTTTCAAATGATAAAGGCTATTTGTAAAATGTAATAATATGACCTAAAAGTCATATTACCCAAGTGCCTCTTTGCTTAAGTGATAGGTGATATTTATTCTCATATCTAAATGAACATCCCCTAGCACTGTGACTAACAAAAAATAAACATAAAGAATGTGTTCTGATTTTGACTATGTTCATTACTCATAATAGACTAGCTGCAATAGCAAACAGCCCCTGTTGTTGTGTTCAGTCAAGTAGAAGCTGTTTCTTCCTCATTTCCAGTATGGAGTGATAAGGTTTTTCTGCATGCAGTCATAAAGGGACCCAGGCAGGCTTCTTCCCTCATGTGGTCTCACCATATTCAAACGCCTTATCTTTCTCTGAATTCAAGTGCAAGAACAGGAAAATCTACTGCACATGGAGAAACACCCTTGAGTTTATCCACTTGGAGCCAAAAATGATGCAAATCTCTTCTGTACATATTGGCTTGATGGAACTTGGTCATGTGACCCCATCAAGAAATGTAGCTTATCATTGTATGCAGAAAGAAGAGTAAAGCACAGATGTTGGTAGGCCTTTCAAGCTTCTGCCACATTGTAGTGGCACACCTTTCAAATATCCATTTACTACTCTTGTCATATAAGCCAAAAAATTCCACAAAGAAGAAAACATAGTCCTATCAGATCAAAATCTAAGGTTGCTGGATGGCCTAGAATTCTCACCATCATTTCTTCATATGACAGCTTTTAATTCAGCAAACTATGAGATGAACAGAGGAACCACTTCTTCCTGTTACTAACACCTAGTGATGGATGCAGATACTAAAAAACTAAACAAAAATACCATGTACAGTGGAAAACAAGGGAAGAAAAATGGCAGCCACTGTCTTTAGTATTCTGAAGTCCACCTGGGCAAGCAACGTGAAGCCAATACTTTCCCTTCCACAAGAACTATATCCTTGTTAAGATCCTGACTCTGATCTCTAGAAGGAATACCTTTTTACTCCTTATCCATGTGATTGTGGATTGTACCTACCATGGTTAGGTGATGTTTGCAGCTCATTTTCTAACCAAGTGTCGTTTAAGCTTCTTGGAAACTTGGTTTGTTTTGTTGTATTCTTTTGAGATCCAGACTGTGGCTATTTTGGGAAAATAATTCCTTAATTTCGGTCAGTTCATTTTTTTTTCTTTATTTTGCTCCCCTACCTCCAACCCCCTCCTCCACTCTCTCTCTTCTCCCCCAACCCCCCTTGCTTTCAGGCAGAACTTCTCCAATTTTGTTGAAGAGAAGACATAAGCAATAAGAAGAAGGACATGACATTTTTGCTAGTTTGACATAAGGATAGCTATACAGAGAGATTCCTAGCATTGCTTCCATGCATTACATCCTGAATTGATTCATCTTTATGGTCAGTTCTATAGAGCAGTAACTATATTCATGTTTTCCCATTCAACTCTACAGTGCATAGACATGTCACATTTTTATCCATTCATCAGTTGATGTATATTTGAATTATTTCTATTTGGTTATTATGAATAATGTTGTTATGAATTTTCCAGTACAACTTATGTGAATATATGTTTTTTATACTATTGGTTTTTCAATGTGGCTGCACCATTTTCAACCCATTAACAGTATTTTTAAAAATTTTTTTAATCATATGTGCATACAATGTTTGGGTCATTTCTCCCCTCTTCACCCACCCATTCCCTTACCCCCCATCCCCTTCCTTACCACCTCACACCCTCCCTCTACCCCCTACCCCCTCACTACCCGGCAGAAACTATTTTGCCCTTATCTCTAATTTTGTTGAAGAGAGAGTATAAGCAATAATAGGAAGGACCAAGGATTTTTGCTGGTTGAGATAAGGATAGCTATACAGGGAGTTGACTCAAATTGATTTCCTGTACATGTGTGTTACCTTCTAGGTTAATTCTTCTTGATCTAACCTTTTCTCTAGTTCCTGGTATCCTTCTCCTATTGGCCTCAGTTGCTTTAAAGTATCTGCTTTAATTTCTCTATATTGAGGGCAGCAAATGTTATCTAGTTTTTTAGGTGTCTTACCTATCCTCACCCCTCCCTTGTGTGCTCTCGCTTTTATCATGTGCTCAAAGTCCAATCCCCTTGTTGTATTTGCCCTTGATCTAATGTCCACATATGAGGGAGAACATATGATTTTTGGTCTTTTAGGCCAGGCTAACCTCACTCAGAATGATGTTCTCCAATTCCATGTATTTACCGGAGAATGATAACATTTCGTTCTTCTTCAAGGCTGCATAAAATTCCATTGTGTATAAATACCACATTTTCTTAATCCATTCGTCAGTGGTGGGGCATCTTGGCTGTTTCCATAACTTGGCTATTGTGAATAGTGCTGCAATAAACATGGGTGTGCAGGTGCCTCTGGAGCAACCTGTGTCACAGTCTTTTGGGTATATCCCCAAGAGTGGTATTGCTGGATCATATGGTAGATCAATGTTCAGCTTTTTAAGTAGCCTCCAAATTTTTTTTTCCAGAGTGGTTGTACTAGTTTACATTCCCACCAACAGTGTAAGAGGGTTCCTTTTTCCCTGCATCCTTGCCAACACCTGTTGTTAGTGGTGTTGCTAATGATGGCTATTCTAACAGGGGTGAGGTGGAATCTTAGTGTGGTTTTAATTTGCATTTCCTTTATTGCTAGAGATGGTGAGCATTTTTTCATGTGTTTTTGGCCATTTGAATTTCTTCTTTTGAGAAAGTTCTGTTTAGTTCACTTGCCCATTTCTTTATTGGTTCATTAGTTTTGGGAGAATTTAGTTTTTTAAGTTCCCTATATATTCTGGTTATCAGTCCTTTGTCTGATGTATAGCTGGCAAATATTTTCTCCCACTCTGTGGGTGTTCTCTTCAGTTTAGAGACCATTTCTTTTGTTGAGCAGAAGCTTTTTAGTTTTATGAGGTCCCATTGATCTATGCTATCTCTTAGTTGCTGTGCTGCTGGGGTTCCATTGAGAAAGTTCTTACCTATACCTATTAATCCAGAGTATTTCCTACTCTTTCCTGTATCAACTTTAGAGTTTGGGTCTGATATTAAGATCCTTGATCCATTTTGAGTTAATATTGGTATAGGGTGATATACATGGATCTAGTTTCAGTTTTTTGCAGACTGCTAACCAGTTTTCCCAGCAGTTTTTGTTGAAGAGGCTGTCTTTTCTCCATCGTATATTTTTAGCACCTTTGTCAAAGAAAGTTGGTTATAGTTGTGTGGCTTCATATCTGGTCTCTATT